TGGAGGGGTACAGGCATCCTCTATAACAAGGACGACTGGGCGACCATTCGACGTCGACCAGCGGGTAAAGGCTCCTGGTTCAAGCTTCGTCGACTTAGTGACTCTCGAGAGCTCTGGTTGGGTACCTACCACTTTACTCCAGGGTGTACAGTGGATGTTTTCTCCTCTCAGGTTGACGACTTCCTATCGCATGCCCCAAAAGGACAGGATCGCATGGTGCTACAGGGGGATGCGAATGCATCAATTGGCTGGGTGGAGAACTCTGGTCAGTGGGAAGCCATAGGTAGGGATGCAAAAGCTTTCATCCTTTTGGATCGTCTTGCGAAGCACGGTATTTCTCTTGTTCCCCCTTTGGCACCCTACAGGGCCCTGCCTACTTCGCGACCTAGGCAGGAAGGCAGACAGGGACGCCAAATCGACATGATGGGGGCTAGGCGCCTTCGACATGAAGGGGTTACCATCTTCAGAGACTCCTACCTGACCTTGGGAACAGACCATGAACTTCTCTGCGGGTCATTCCGAGTTGTTGCCGGAAAAGAGGTTTCCCGATTCCAGACAAAGCCGAGGGTGTGGACGGGAGGCCTTGAGAGGGTTGAGTTTGTCGACCAGGCAGTATTGGAAGACCTTGCGCTCAGGTGTACTCGCCCGAAGGTTAGCCTAGCATACAAGGACCCTGAAGCGGTCAAGCTCCTTTTCAGAAAGGCTAAGCTTCTCAAGAGCGGTGAAGCCTGGAAGTGCGCGCTGGCTGCCCGCAAGGCCGCAAGACGGCACTGGGAGGGGCAGAGGGAGACGAGAGCACTACAGGGGGATTGGCAGGCATTCAGACAGTGCAAACCTCAGGCGAGACAGGGTTGGGAGATCGATTTTGCGGACAGGCAGAGTCGGGACCCTCATGCAGCCATCCATGACCATTTGAGCTCCATCTACAAGGGACAGGGGCAAGACATTCAGCCGATATACGACCCTTGCCAGGAGGTTGTGGCCTTTACGGTAGATGAACTCCAGCAAGCGCTTGGGCAACTCAAGGGATCGAAGTCGGTGGGCAGGGACCTTACGTCGAAAGAGCTTCTTACAGGGCTGGTCAACACGGAAGGAGGGCAACAGCACCTGCTGGAATTTATGAATAGGACTTTGGCAACCCAGATCATACCGGCAGAGTGGAATAAGCCTCTCCTCATCGTCCTTCCCAAGCTTGACCAACCAGCTTCTCCAGGTGACCTGAGGCCGATTGCCCTCGGCAGTACAGGGGCTAAGCTCTTTTCGAGGATGATTCTGAACAGGGTCAAGGAACACATGCCGTATGTCAGCCACGCCCAGTGCGCAGGGAGTCAGCGACAACCGTCGGACGTTATCTTCTCCGTTTGGAGACTTCTCCAGTTGGAGAGAGAATGGAAGGCGGGGCTGGTCATGGCCCAGATCGACATAAGCAAAGCTTTCGACACTCTTTCCCGACAGAAGCTACTCAGTAAACTACTGGAAGCCTTGGGCAACACTGCAGAATACAGATGTCTCCACAACCTCCTATGTGGTACTGAAGCTACTCTACAGACAGTCTGGGGCTCATCCACCTTTGAAATGTTTACTGGAATCAAACAAGGGGCCACAGAATCCCCTCTCCTCTTTTCCTTTATTATGGAACATGCCTTGCTTGAGGCTACTACGAGGTTTAGATGGAGGGACAGACCGAGGGTTTATCCAGAACTGGAATGCGAAGACTCCCTGTATATGGACGACGGTCTGCTCTGGAACAGGGACGTGGTGTCT